GTTTCAATCCATCACTCCCTGTCCTGTCACAACAGGCCTTGCTAAAAAGATTGCCCCCATCCTTCCTATCGGCCCCCTTTAAGTTCTGAAAGGACCCTCTTAGGGCACTGCCAGGTTTCACCAGCACTCCTCCAAGGGCTCAGCCAAGGCTCACAAAATACAGCTCCTTCCCCCCAAAAAATCAGCTAAGATTCACACCCATCCGCTGCGGTGGGTTTGAAAATGCTCATTTTAGGCCCTTCCTAGGGCTGTGAAGCAGCACGGAGTCCTCCTCAAAGGCTGGATCTGAAAGGACCCTCTTAGGGCACTGCCAGGTTTCACCAGCACTCCTCCAAGGGCTCAGCCAAGGCTCACAAAATACAGCTCCTTCCCCCCAAAAAATCAGCTAAGATTCACACCCATCCGCTGCGGTGGGTTTGAAAATGCTCATTTTAGGCCCTTCCTAGGGCTGTGAAGCAGCACGGAGTCCTCCTCAAAGGCTGGATGCGGGGCCGGCAGCGCTCCGTGCACCACTCACAGGCTGCCTGCCCTTCGCCAACGTACCGAAGCCGATGAGGCCGAGCGTCTCCCCCCTGATGCGGGCGGCTCCGGAGGCCACCTCCCGGATCTGCTCCACGCTCTGCACCCGCGTGCCTTCCCGCAGCGCCTGGTAGAGCCACGTGTTTCGCCGGTAGAGGTTGAGGACGTGGCAGACGGTGGAGTCGGCCGTCTCCTCCACGGCGGCCGAGGGGATGTTGCAGACGGCGATCCCTGCAGAGGCAACACCACAAAGCACAACCGTGGCTCAGGGGGGGCACCCCAGCAAAGCAGAGGGGCTCCTGGCCCTTCACCCTCACATCTCCCAGCCAGCCCCTCATTTTGTAAGCATTTGGAGTAATGTTTTCCCAGGATGTGCACGGTTTACATACAGCAGCCTGAAAGCTCTGCAAAAATCTCATTACAGTGACCGGTGATGCTCAGGGGTCCCCTACGCCTCAGCATCTCTCTGGAGTAAGGACAAGTGCAGGTTGCAAGTGCGATACCTAAGCAGGAGTAACTCCGGCAGCAAAGGTTTGTTTTGCAATGGAAAGGTTTATTCTTGTTTAGTGTAATCTACCTTAAAAGCGACTTAAATCGCGCTGGCAGAAGTCCCTCCTTTTCCCCAATAAGACTGTTCAACCGTTAAATTATTTAGGGACGAATAATTTGGTGCGCTCGAGCAGGATGGCCAGCTTCTCTTTCCACCAACAAGCGCCAAAACAGTCGACTCAAAACACCCCTTGGTAAGCCTCCACCCGCCACAAACACCCACCCACATTCCCGCAGGAGGAACTGATCGCTCCTGCCACAAAATTTGGAGGCTTTCCCAAAATTTGGGAAGAGCAGGGGGCATGGCTGTGCCAGGGCAGCTCTTCCACCCCAGCACCACCACTGCTGCACACCCCTGCCTCCCCGGTGCGGCTCTCGATAACGGCCCCTTTGTTCCTTCGCCACAAAAGGTTCATTTTAAACCACTGCGTCCCTGTTCGGAGCCGTAAGTATTAAGTTCACGGCAAATGTCTCCCCGGTCATCATCCCGTCCAGGCTCTGGCTCGGTAATGTGCGTAAGGGTGCGCTTCATTGCACGTCTATTCAGCAGAGCAGTTAAGCACATGCTTATATCCCACCAGACTCAATGCGATTTAAACACACGTTCGAAGATGGATGGGTATTTAAGTGCTTTACTCGACTGGGGCCTTTGAGTAGAAACCATGAGAAAGGAGATAAAGACAGAATAAGATATTCAGAAAATCCCCTTCCACTGTGAGGGGCACTGAGTCAAAATCAAAAATCTGTTTCCCATCCTCCTGCCAATCTCCCTGCTCCCAGGAACCTGCTTTTCTGTTTTTAAAACTGTTTTCCACCCTGTGGCTGTTTGGAAGACCTACAGAAACCAGGAGAAAACTGACTGACCCTCCAGGGAGAAAAGAACTCACTGCCAACCAACCCTGAAAACACTGTCCACCTCCTCTCCCTTCCAGGTGACAGGGACACGGTGCTCTGGTCCCCGCGAGCTCCTAAAGCTGATGCTGGCTCGTTTTACATTCCTCATCTCGCCTACAAAGGGAACTTCTGATTTACCTCAGGGACTCAGGTGCAGCCCAGAAACCACACTGACCACCTGCCCAAACCCTTAATACAGGGTAAGGGAGGGATTCCCAAGAAGACCACATGTTTAAGTACCACGCAACTGCTCCTGCCCATCTGTAGGCAGAGGCTGTGGTTGCTCATGGAGGAAGAGAAGAGAGAAGGCGGCTGGAGGGCAATGGGCAGCTCCGGCAGCACTCGCCATCAGCCTGCAGCTCCGCTGAGGGTCCCTGTCACCAACCCATCACCAAGCCACCACTTGTCCCTTTTCTGATGGACCACTGCTGTAGAGCTGGATGAAACCAGGCTGCCTTTCCCACAAGCTTCTTACGCTGTTATTTATTGTCGTGCCTTCAGGAGCAGGAGCTGCGGCACTGGGAGTTAAATACCCACAGCGGATGGTTCAACACCAGCATCTTGTTTGGGGGGTGTCTTCTAGCGGGTCGAAACTGGCCAGCCCGGCCAGCAAGGCGCAGGCGGCTGATAGCACGCGGCCAGGCGCCGTGTTTAGACACTGGTCATTTATTGACTGCACAGTCTAAAAACTACCTTATGGAAAGCAATACCAATTAAACTTTACGCTACATTTGTGGGTAGTCATTACATTTTCTACTCGAAACCACATCATTTGGCCACCCAATTTGCCAAGTATAAAAAGAAGGATTATACTGCAGTATCCCATTACTTTATTCGTTATATTTTTCCTTTCTTGATGTTCAAAGCCTCAGAACATTGTTATAATGGATAATAACAATAAGAGTTAAAAACATGAAGAAACCATTACATTGAGAAGACACTGTTCTCCTCTCGAAAAAAAAATAATTCACTATATTGAGAATTGCTTTTTTAGGAATGACTATTTCAAACTCCCTTATCGCAATTATCCTTGTAAAATGGCTCACGTGAAACAGCTCTTATTCTTCGCTTCCCCAGAGATAACCTTTAATACAAGATACCCTAAACACTATTGTAGGACTGCTTGATAGGCTGAATCTTGGGATCCGATGATCAAAACCGATTGTAACTCAGCTGCTGAAATCACGGATACAATGAAGCTCTCCTAGTTGCGGGTGTGCAGATTGTGCCCAAGGTCTCTGTGACCATCCAAACCAGTATGGAAATCGGGTGGCCCCAGCACCGTCTCACAGCTACGCAACGCAGCCTACACGCACCCCACAAACCGGGGCGTGCAGAAAAATTCCATAGCTGGGCACAGGGGCTCCTTTCTGAAAATGTGGCCCTCCGTATTTTGGCAGTCCATATAACATGACCCTACAGTAAATCTCTTTTTCAAGTTCCTGAGGCACCTTTGATGAGATGGCAAAGGAGGCAGCAACAACCCAACACACAATTCCTGCTCCTACATCCGACACGTCGCCTTCCTGGCAGTGTGGGCATGACTCCGAGACCCAGATCAGATCAAGAGACTAATCTTGCTTAACAGAATATAATGTAACACCCTTCCTCCAATTTTTATAAAGCTAGATCAGCTCTCCTGTGCCAGAAATAGAACAGCCATGCCAATATCCGTCAGTACAAGGGGGCTCCTGGACCCAGACAGCGTGGGAATGAGGGACAATTTTAACGCAGTATGAGCCTAAAAGCTGCCTTCTGAAACTGTACCATTTTGTTTACTTCATGGCCAAGTTTTAATGTCATAATATTCTCTACATGCAAAAAATGTAAACTGCACCTGTAATTTTAAGGGCTGAATCAACCCGCTTTGGGAGGTCCTGCCTGCAACTCCGCTTTGCCAGCACGCTCTCCTGGGAAGCAGCAGGTACTTGTGCTGAGTTTAAAGACTCGGAGGGATGTGGGAGGGAATTGGGATGCAGAGCTGAGACCTACCAAGCTCCCCTGCGGCTTTGATGTCAATGTTGTCGTAGCCACTGCCTATTCGAACAATGACCCGTAAGGCCTTGAACTTCTCTAGATCTTCTCGAGTCAGTGTGATGGTGTGGTACATCATCGCCCCAACAGCTTCATTTAATACCTGGAACAGAACAGAGATGTCAGGAGCCACCAGGACACCTGGAGGGGATGCCTGCAGCTCCTGAATCAGGAATACTACCCAGTAAATTGTACGTTTTTACCACCGGCCTACTGTCTGACCCAGGCATGGTGCAAGCCGACACTTCCAGGTGTCACCAAAACTATCAGGGGTGTGACCCACCGACACCGAGGCCACTGCCTTTGGGAACAGACTGGATGGATACCTAAAAATTATGATGTTACATCTGGGGAGACAAGGCAGAGGAAAACTGAGCCTGTCGCTCACCCAGACCCTTTGCCAGGTGGTTAGCTGCTAACCCCTCTGCTTCCAACCAGCAGTAATTCCACTTTTAAAAAGGAATTAGGTTTTACAGCAGTCTCTATTGGTTTTGAACACAACTGTGTGTCACTCATAACATCTCGACCTTCTTTTGTATGTTGGAAGTACAAATGCCTGTCACGCTGTTCACATTAACCTTTCCTGGATGTTTTCAAGAGTACCTGAAAAGATCCGTGTGAGCCTGTACAGTCACGTAAGGCTGTACTCTGTCTCCTTCAATGGAGATTCAAACCTTCATCAGTGTTCACCATAAGCTACCTTGGCGCTCTGGAAACCCAAGACCTACCCAAATTCTCCAAGACTGGCTCATCTATCTTCTATCAACGTCTCATAAAAAACTCCATCCTCCTTCCCCCGCATTTAATATTTGAAGCACTGCAAAGATCAGCACTGATGGTATTTGTAGTTTTCTTTCCCAGATCCTGGAAGTGATTTCTGATACCTTCAAACCTCATTTGAGTTATCAAAATGTGCACCAAGAATACTTTTAAAACAAGTATTTACAATTAGTTGAGCTTCCAAGCCGAAACACCCATCCACACTGCACGGATCTGCCTGCACGCTGCCCAAACCTCACCAGCTCACTGCTGGGGAGAAATGAGCTGCTGAGGTGCAGCCAGCACCCGAGGAGACCCATCAGCTGCAGCGCAGGATGGTGTTAGCAAAACCAGAGCAACCGCGCTGCACACCAGGGAGGTGCAGAGTGCTGTTACTGCTGCACCGAGCAAGCGGACTTCAAAAAAATGAGAAACGTTAATCGTATTGATGTAAAAAACCCTGATGCTAAGAGATAAGGTGACTTTTTTCCCCAAAATAACATAGAATCATAGAATTGTTTAGGTTGGAAAAGACCTTTAAGATCATCCAGTCCAACCGTTAACCTAACACTACCAAGTCCATCACTAAACCAGTTAAGAGTAGTACAATAATTAATTTCATGTTTCCTGGCTGGATTATTTTTTAATGAAAGTAAAACTAGAATAGAATCATTAAGGTTGGAAAGGTTGATCTCTAAGATCATCAGTCCAACCATCACCCCAACACCCCCATGCCCACTAAACTATGTCCCAAAGTGCCACGTCTGCCCGTTTTTTTGAACTCTTCCAGGGATGGTGACTCCACCACCTCTCTGGGAAGCCTGTTCCGATGCTTGACTACCGGTTCCGTGAAGAAATTTTTCCCAATATCCAATCTAAGCCTCCCCTGCAGCAGCTTGAGGCCATTTCCTCTCGTCCTATCGCTAACTACCTGGGAGAAGAGACCAACACCCACCTCACTACACCCTCCTTTCAGATAGTTGTAGAGAGATCTGGCTTTTAAAACAGACTCGCTGGATTTTCATCTACAGTGACTTCTGTTGATGTTACCTGCTGATGGTCTCAAAGTGCAGCTTTGTACGTGTTTTTTCTCAAGAAGAATTGGAAGAGGAATGCCAGAGCACACCGTCCCCCAGCCCGGCCCGCCCGCGCGGCTCATGTTACCTTCTCATGAATCTCCTGAGTTGATTGTGCGTCACAGAATGCAACCGTCGCCAAGTCCTTCAAAATGGGCATCTCCACCGTACAGTCCCTCCCGTCCAGCAGTGCCACCAAGGGCCGAGGGTGCATGGGGCCGTTCATGATTTGAGGGCGAATACCTGCAAGCAGAAGGAACGCAGCTTTTACACCGGCGGCAGTGGGAAGGTTCCCTCGGCAGCGGTGGTACCTGCGCGTGGTTCCTGTGTCAGGTGAGGGGGAGTGGCACATGGTTTCAGCTTGCACAACGGATTTCGGGGGATGATGGCAACGCAATGCGAAGCTTAGCGCAAGGTCAGGGAGTACGGCTGCGGTTTTGCCCTGGATGGTGAGAAAACCCAGCAAGACTTGCTCCAGGACAGGGATGGACAACCCCCTTTCAGCCACCTGTGACTTTATGGGGCTGTATCTCCACTGTGCCGATCCTCACCGACAAAGGCCATGGTTCAGCCAAACCGTGCAAGCCAGAGCTGCCGACCTCTTCAACCATTTTATTTAGCATCTTAGGAGTGAAACCCAAGCCAGCAGTAATTTTTTTCCCCGTGCCTGCAGGAGGGCTGGGATTTCGCTCCGCAGACGTACACTGGCACTTGGTCTGGTTTTTTAAAGAATGACTTTACCATTTTGACCGCCTCAGAAAGACAAGTCCAAACAGACATCCACTAAAAAAAAAGGATTACTGGAAAATCACAGAAAGAGCAGGACACCACAGACCTCTTCAGCCTACAGACATATATTCTGTTATATTACCAACTACCAAAAGGCTTCATGGTGGGAACGGCGAAGCTCAGCTTGCTCTGTAAAACCAAACCCGGTCTATCTCCGGATCCCGCAGGATGCTCTGGGATGTGTGGCTGGAGACAACGTGAAGGACCTGCATATACAGGATGAAATGGCTGCAGACCCTGCTGCGCCACGGCGGCGAGCACCCTCGTGCCCGTGCAGGGCCCCGCTCTTCTCACGCTTACACACCCCTCACCACGGGCTGCTCCCTTGAAAATATTTGTATTCAGGGGTCTGTTCATCTGCGCCGCATTTTTCTCATTTCACAACGACATGTTTTCCAGGCTGAGGTGAGGAAAGGAACAATCACCACCAAGGGCCACAGAAGGCTGATTTTTAGATCCTATTTATTGCTCTGCTGGGGATTAACCGGTTCATTTTTGGACAAGTCACTTAGAAATTTCTACGCCTCCCTTTACAACTTAGTAAGGGTATTTATTACATTAGGACTGTAAAAAATATCTCAGCTATCTTTTTCGGCTATCCAGGCAGTTTCTGGGAAAAGCGTAGGTGGGGGAAGCGGGTGTTCTGGGCACAAAGTGGTGTTTTATTTCTGCTGCCGCACCATGAGATGGCCAGGCCTGGGCGGTTTGGGTTCAAACCTTCAAACCCCCTCACAAGCAGCCTCAGGGAAGCCCCTCTCCTTACCGACCCCCTCCTTCTGCAGAAGAACCTTCCAGGGCTACCAGCCAACATCTGTACCACCTGTAAGGATAGTGGGGGTGTGATTCTTTTATCGAGGGGCTAACAGACACAGTAAATGCCTTCACTGCTTCTTGGTAAGAGCGTTCTTCCCTGCCACTCTTTTTACTCGGAGTAAAATTGCTGATGCTGGTGAGCTGGACAAGCACGGGGCTTGGCTGAGGGACCTCCGTGGAGTTGGTTTTGGGTATTTTGGGGGAGTCAAACATCTATATATAAAAGAACAAATGCTACTGTTTGTGGCACTGTTGGAGTAAGTCGGACTAAAGCCGAGAGCGGGAGGCTCCTTCGCCGGCCCTCGTGCGCAGGGCTGGGTACCGCTCCAGCCCTCTGGACTGCGGTCAGCACCAGGAATCGTGTCACTGCAGCCCCACGGGCCAGAAAAATGACAATGAGGGAAAGAAACTAATGAGAAGAGCAACGCACTGATTTCTTTTTTTTTTTTTTAAGGGTAAAATAAATGTGCCTTTTTGTCCAGATTGCTGTTGGGTAAAGTATTAGCAAGATCTCCACCAGCTGATGCGTATGTGACAGACATGGGTGCTACGGGCCAAAGCGATGCCTCCCAGATCACGCCGGTACCCAGAGCATCGCCCCAGGGAGGGATCTACACTGCTGCGTATGAACAGTGGGATAGCATGGAGTTATGTTTGGTTTACATGGGAAAAAAATAACCCCATGGAAACAGGCAGGTTTAATGGAAGGGGTTTAATGGTTCTCCATTCCTGTTTTATTGAATCTGCTTTAAGAAATGAAGAACCAACCAACCCAGCAGACCCGACTGAAGATTTTCAGCATTACACGTGAACGTTTTTGGAATAGGTCCTTCTCTCCGTCTTTCCTACCGAGATCTCTATTAGCACATACTGGAAGTAATACGTTATGTTTGCATGCATTTCATCCAGATGGAAGTGCAACTGTGTCAGTCGGCAGGGTAGAGCGCCGAGACGATTCGGATAACCAAAAGAAGCTTCCCATAAGCAGATAAGCAAGAATAAAAACATGTGCAAATCTCAGAGCGCTTACACAATCCTTACGTGAAGCACCATACCACAGCTAGATTATTTTCTCAGGTTAACGAGCGAGCGAATTATAACGCTGACTTAAACGCTTACTAACGTGTATGATCTCCAAGGCTTAGAGCATCACCTATCAGCCTCACACCGCAACTGTAAATAAAAAGGAATCCGATGCAGGGGCAAGGTGGCTGTGGTGGTCCCAGCCCCAGTGGCCACCGGCACTGTCCCCACGCCGTGCAGCCATACGCCTCTGTCCGGGCAAGCTGAGCTTGGAGCTCGGTGCCCACTGGGGACCAGGCAGGGCAGTGGGCGACCAGAGGCTGGTGGTGGCTTCCTGCAAGCATGGCACATGGACAGCAAAACCAGGGGTTATCTGAAACCTTGACATTTAATCCGAGCCCCAAAATAACAGTTTTATTACGCTGCCATTACATAAGCTTCTTTGAAACTCAAACGACACACAGTTGTTTTTTTTTTTTTTTGAAACAGCATCTGTGTCTTTGCTTGGGATTAGGGATGTAATTGTGCATGATGACACAGGCTTCTTAGGCATGTCACCCTCACCCGCACACAAAAGTGCAGTAGCCAAGGATGAATGCTGGCTGGGAACTGTGAGGTAGTCAGAGGAACGTCTCTCACTTCTGCTCCGATGAGGGAATTTACTTCAGCTTGACAAGGAAAGTTTTGAAGCAAATTGATATGAGATGAAGTGCATAACGCATGGAAATTAACGTTTTAATAAAAAACATTGGCAAGTTTGCAACTTCAACTGCGGTATATTTTCCCCGCCTGCCTCTCCCGTTGCCTCTCCACCACTCTGCGCCTCTTCTTCCCCGTCCTGGTTCCTACCTCCTGCACAAACCCATTCAAACCAAAACAATCGGGCTGACAAAACCAAGCGAAACTCGGTACGCTTTTCTTTTCACCCAAGCTCATACAGCACGTTGTTCTGCGTGCGACTGCTTCATTAAGAAGGAGGTATGCCACGGATCAGAAAGTAATTAAACAGCCAGACACTCCCCGCCTAAATTCTGATAAAACATCTCAGCCATTAACTCTTTCGCTCTGCCAGGCGTTGCAAAACCACCGGGCTCCCTCCACCGAGGGGTACGCCGGTGTGCAAACCCAGCACTGGTGTGCAAACCCAGCCGTGGTGTGCAAACCCAGCCGTGGTGTGCAAACCCAGCCCATCTCTGCCTCGCCGCGCGCGGACAGCAGGCAGCAGAGCGAGCCGGGGCGGTGCGGGCAGGAGGCAGTGGAACAGCTCTCCTTGGGGCTGGGGTGGGATCAACTCTCCCTCCCAAAAGCCTCACAAATTCGGTGGCTCCCCCGCCATCTGAAGGTGATTTTTGCCGATAAAGCCCCAGCCGTTCCCGCAAAGTTGTGGCAAATATTGTTCCATGTGTATTTTTTTAAGGCGTTTGCAGCTGCCTGCAGACCCTCGCCAGCATTGCAAGGAGAGCTTGGTAAGGAAGAGGGAGAGGAGGAAGGGTTTATGGAAAAAAAAAAAAAAAGGAAAAAAAAAAGAAAGGTTTTGCAGTCACAGTGAGAACTCAAACTCCACCCTGGCTCACAGGCAGCGCCGCTTGTTGCACGCAGCCCCGCGTATAAAGTGCTTTTGTTTCATTTTTAATACACAAAGCCTGCTTGTCCTCTCCTGCCGCTCCTCCCCTTTGCCACCCACTTGTATCCGATCCCAATGGCACCCCTGCCAAGAGAATTAGGGAGCGCTCCCTGCTAAATGGCAGCCTTTGTGTGACCACAAGACGGCTGGTACTATCTCACAGAAACAAAAGCAGAAGCCATTTGCCTAATTCTTACTAATCTCAGTTGCCTACGCCACGCAGCATTTAAAAAAAAAAAAAAAAAAGGAAGAAAAAAGGCTTTAAACATGTTCACTTGCAGTATATAAAAGTGCATCAAGAAGCAATCCTGACAGTCGCCTGAATTACCCGTTCACGACAAAGTAGCTACAGTTTTACAGTCAACTACACACTTTATTAAACAAACAGAAAAGAAACAGGAAATTTCCCCTTGCCTGGAAAATGTTGCCTCCACATTCTTCTTCTTATTAAAAACCACACATGGCAGTGGAGGAGGAGGGAGGGAGGAGGAGGGGGGGGAACCCACACACGATAAAATACTACCACTTTTCAGTGCGTTGCCTCTCCTTTCGTCTACGAGGGGGTATCTTCAAACAAGCAATCCCGCGGCCCACAGCTGCAACATCTCAAGACAAATGTCTCTTTGAACACGGAGGGAAAAGAAAAGGCTTTTGTCCTGAGCCACAGAAGAATAGTCTGAAATTGCGAGAGGAGTTACAGTCACCTCTGCTCGGCTCCCAACTCTTCAGAGCACTCCCTCCAGACTTTGCCGAAGCTTTTAACTAATCGTAGTTCTTTCCCAGCCCTTGAATAAAATCATGTGAGTGCCAGCCAAAAAATCTTATGCTATGCACACTAAAGGGTTTGTATATGTCACAGTTGCTTTTTCCCCCTTCCACTCCCCTCCTCCTATTGACTTGCACATACGGCGGTTTTTTTCGAGTCGTCTCAAATGGATTTAATCTGTGCCACGCTGCGTTTTATGTTTGTTTGGGTTTTTTCGTGTGTGGGGTTTTGGGTTTGGGGTTTTTTTTTTTTCAAACTTAAAAATGAAACATGCCTTTCCATGCGGAGTATATTGAATGAGGCTCCAGAAACAGGCTGATAGCCTTGAGCAGCAGCGGCGGCACCACGAAAACAAACACAAAGCACCGGGGGAAAGCAAGGCTGCGCTGAGCTCATCTAGCACCCAGAAACGAAGGGCCAAATTCTTTCTTGATGCGTAAATCAAGTGGTTTTTCAGCATCAGAAACGACACTCGCTTGCAGGAAGGATTCACGTCTTCTTGGAGACGCCCATCTCCTGGTCCTGCCCGGTTTGTCCCAAAGAGGGAAAAGCAGCCCTGTAGCATCACCAACCCAATCCCAGACTCTGCAGAGCGCGGGGAAGTGCCGCTGTGGGACACGGTGAAGGAGGGCAGGTCGTACCTGTGCAATGCCCCATCTCCAGAGCACGCACTGGCTCACGGCTTGGTGCAGCTGTTTTTTTTCTCTTTCCAGTTGCCATCATCATGGCCAGCAGCAGCAACAGCTAGAGACAATCCTCATCCAAGAAATAAGGAGAAAAGTCTGCATCTCACTCCCAGTTTAATAACTGCTAGTGCAGCATCTTACTATTTGTCATTCCCTGGCTAAAGAGCGGTGCAAATTAGTTAACAGAAGGATCTTGGCGGCCTTCGTGCAAAATACCTTGGATCCGTCAAACTGATTTTCGGCCATGGAAGCCAAACTGAAGCAGAGCAGTGCCGGTGCACCGGCAGTACCGGCTACTCTGCTTTACCTGGAACAAATGCAGTACATGGGGAAATCCGTCAGCAACAAGGTTAGCCTGTACAGACCCCTTGTTTTCCATCACCATTTCATCACCATCCCGCTAGTTCAAACAGCAGCATCCCTCCCCTCTGCAGGGGGGGTCTGAACCGCCCAGCGCCAGTCCGAGGGAGAGAGCCAGCAGAAATCGCAGCAATTCACCGGCACACGCAGCCCGCTACCAGGCAAGGGTCCTGCTCGCCCTGTCAGATGCTTCTGGATGCCCAGGAGCGTCCTGGAATCAGAGGATGAGGTCAAGAATAAGGAGACAAAAGGTTTATTACCCAAAGCTGGTACCGACATAAACATCAAAAGACCTGTCAGACTCCCTAAAATCCAGTCTCCCAGTACAAGACAAGGGAATTTAGGCACATCTTTCTCTTGAACTTACATTGCCATTGCTTGAGCACTTCAAATTTTCCACAGGTTTCCTGTCTTAGCCATCACCTCGGCTTTACAAGCCGGAAAGCCGGGGTCCCGCAGTGCCTTTCCGAGGTGGCTCAGGGGTCCCCACTCCTCGGCGGCCCTGGGCCACCCTCGCTGCGGGCTGTAAACTGGCACCGATCCTGCTTCAGGGGCGCATGGAGGGGAAACCCCTGGGAAGCCACCTCTGTGGTGGTTTCAACCGCAGACGGTGGTTTCAAACTTCAGCAGTATCACTTGCAAGCAGAAAGGCGTAAGCGAGTTGCGAAGGTACCGTCGAACAAATGCTGGAGGCTTCTGTGAGGATGGGGATGTTTCTGGAAAGCACTACCGATGCTGCAGGACCGAGAGGACCACCCTCCTCTATCGCAGACAAGTGATGCTCTTTCTTTCGCTTAACTTTTCCTGTTAATAAATACTTCTCATAATAAATGCATATGAAAAAATGAAGTAAGACACAGTCTTTACCTCGCAGCCAGGGGAAAACAGGTATTAACTGTTATTTCTAACTGTAAATGCTCTGGAGGCACTTGATACTGTACAGACAGAAGCCACACAAATACCCAGGCAGTTTAGAAGTGACATCAAATCTCTTTTTTATAAATAATCATGGTGTGTTGTTTTTTTTTTAAAGCAAAGCATCTTTGAGACTGCCAGGACCCTAACCAGGAAAAGACTGCGCAATTTTCTCAGTCAGAGGAGACCTGAGCGTTTGAAATGATGTCTGTAAGGCACCTGACGGGCTCCATGCTCGCAGCCACTCTTGCTGTGGGAAAAGGGGATGATGGCAAAGCGGAGGTGACTTCCAAGCCGCTGGGAAAACCCGCAGGTTCATGGCAGTCCCCTCCAGCAAGGGAAATCACGCGTCAGAGAAACTCCCGAGCTCCAGAAAGATGGCCAAAGAGGCAGCATGGCCCATCCTCCCTCCTGAGGGGCAAGGTCCCTGCCAGAAAGGAAAAAACTCGTACCTGCCGTCGGGAAGAGCCTGCGCAAACTCCTGACCTCTCCAGCGCACTTCCTCCTGTCAGCACATCACGGCTGGCTTTTCGCCAGTTCCCTTTCCAGATGACTTTTCAGGGCTTCCTTTAAGAATGTATTTTTAAAAACTCAAGAGGAAATTCCCATATAAAATGAAATCCTTTTTAGCTGATACAAACACCGTGATTACAGTCCCCAGCTGAACTACAGAAGCAGAGAACCAACCACAAAGAAATGCTCAGTAAAAATATGGGGAGTATATATACACTTTTCTTACTCTTATTTGAATTCCTGTAGATACACACACCAGAAACAGATACACCTCTTCACCTCCTTTTGCGTACCCCCATTACAGCACTGAGATACACGTAACCCACTGCCGATGCCATGGGGATGCCATCTCGGGGCAGGAAAACGAAGCACAAACTTTGCAAAACTCTGGAGCATTCTTCTTCTATGAAGCAATCTCTGGACTGAACTAAAAGTCATCCAGGAGCACTCTAGATACAGCTGCAAGTATATAAACCAGTGTAATACAATAAAAAAGTAATGTAATAGTAGTATGTAACCTCTGCTGTATACCTTCCATATCAAATTGTCGGGGTTTTGGTTATTCCCAGGCTGCCAGGTGGGTAAATCCGTATCTACAAACACCAGCCTGTGACTTTCCGCCCCAGCTCACACGCGGGTTAACACGGAGGAGCGACTTCGTGAGGAGCTAAGCGAGGTCTTAGGGTAAAACTCCTCATGGCCACGCAAGGCGATGGGAGATGGGGGGTGCCCGAGGGATGCGCTGGCCCCAGGGGCTGGCCAGGGACCCCAAGAAGCAGGAGTGCGGAGCAGGGGACGGACGGATGGGCTGGCGACCCCGGGGAGGCAGCGGGAGCTGCCAGGGCACGCAAGAGAGATGGCAGAGCAGATGGCAGAGGCCATATGGGGCGGTGAGGGATGCTACCAAGAAAGCTAAAAGAAGCACCTGGAAGAAAAAAAATGCTTGCTCAGAGGAGCTCAGTTTCTTGTATTAATTTTTTTTTTTTTGAGAGGCACGGGGAAAAGAAGGGAAAAAACCCAGTTAGGCTTTGCGTTGTGGTTATGTTGTCCCTGCTCATTGCAGGGCGACTGGACTAGATGAGCTTTGAAGGTCCCTTCCAACCCAAACTATTCTGTGATTCTGTGATTCAGACACCATATGGGCTCTCAAACCATCCCACTGCCCAGGGCTGAGCTTTGCAGCTCCTAGTAAAAACAGTATGGAGAAGGTACCAAAAAACCCCAGTAAATTCCCCTCGAATGTGCTCCATTACCAAGCCCAGGGCTGAAACCAAATTGTAGTCGTAGTGCTTAGAGGCTTTCCTGATATTATCCAGAAACCTGAGAAAATACTTTCTCTGCAGTGCTGCCGCTTTAGCTGTAGTATATATTATTTACATTTCATACGCATGATGTTCACCCCTGTGACACACATTCCAGCCATACGGCATCACGCAGGAGGGACAACATCGGGCGCCAGCTCTCCTTCGGGTCCCTCCCTATCCTCTTTATCCATTTATCTTTTCCCTTCTATCCCAATGGAAACAAACAACAGCAGTACAAAACAAATGAGCTGCTCCAGGAAATGGACAGTTTTCATTGTGTGGGTTTTTTTTAAAAGGATAAAATAAATAAAACTAAGGAGAACGATGCTGATGCTTTACACGAGGCCGCAGGGGAGAGCCACTGATATTAGCCATCTGGGCAGAAGGCTGCCTGGACTTCAAATCACCCCGAGGGATTCGGAGGTTTTAAAGACATTTTGGAAGACGAGATGCAAAAAGGAAGGCTAAAGATGAGCCTGCTGACCGGCAGCGACAGCCCTGGCACGGGGACAGCCTGAAATACGGCTGGCCGAGACCACCACGGGACCAGCAGTGGGGCTGCCAACAGCGGACCAGCATTGTGGGATGCAAACTCAGTTTCATCGCACAGACGGACAACTGAGAGCCCTATGGTTGAGACTGGAAATTTCCCTTGAATGAAAGGAAAAAAAAAGGTAACCCATCAAAGCAAGCACTTGGATTCAGCTTTTGGGAAGCGAGAGAGGTTCAATCGCACTAGCTGTCTGTGCACCACTGGCACGTTCTAAACTTGCATTTGCACATTGTTCATGAGTGAATCCGAGTGGAAACCACCATGCTTTGAGATACTTGTAGGAATTAAATTATGCTGGCGTTAACCACTGACACGAGTCCTTCCCATCATGCTGGACAGAAAGCGCTATCAATCTTTTAAGCAAGATATACATAGGGCTTTCCATATGCTGCTCTGCTTTGCTGCTGGCATTTCCGAGATCTGCTGGAGGTTTTCTGTAGACCCCAGAGGAGGGTCGAGACAGCGTCGGCAGATTTTCTGTGCTGGGGAGGACAGCGGTTGCTGTTCACTGTTGGT